GAAAGTTGTATTTCTCATCATTGTTACATCGCACCCTGACTGGCTCATCTCCTCCCCGAGACCCCTCTGCAAGGGGATCTCCAGTGGCCTACTGACTTGAGGACGTTTTATTAAACACATTCCTCAGATATGCAGATGGAAAAACTTTGCTTGCCAAGTGAGGAGGACTTGAGGCACTTGCTGATAAAGATCAAAGACTGCAGCAACCAGTATTGATTACAATTCAATGCAAAGACCAAAATCCTCACCAATGTAACAATAAATGGATGAAGACTGAAGTTGTCACAGATTCTGTCTTGCTTGAATCCACAACATATGTTCATGCAAGCAGCAGTCAAGAGATCAAAAGAAGTGTTGCATTGGGTCAATCTGCTGCACAGGATGTCTTTAGGGTATGGAAAAGCAAGGATGGTGTGTGAAGACTAAGGTAGATGGTCCTGACTCAAGCCATTGCTTCATATGCATGTGAAAGTTGGGCATTGAATAATGAAGACTGAAGAATAGATGAACTTGAATTGTGGTGTTGTTGAAGTACATGTGTTGGCTATGTTGTCGAGTCCAGTCCCTGGAGGGCATCATGCTTGGTAAGGTAGAGGGGCAGTGAAAAAGAGCAAAACCCTTGATGAGCTAGATGGGCAAGGTGGCTGCAACAATGAGCTCAAGCATAGTAACAATTGTGAAGATGGTGCAGATGGGGCAGCGTTTATTTCTCCTGTGCACGGAGCTGCAAAGGGCTAGAACTAACTCGATGGCACCTAACAACAACAACAAAAACAAATACTGGTTGCCATCAAGCCCATTCCGATTCATAAAAACAAAAAACGCAGGCCCACTACCATAGGGTCAATTCTACCTTCTAGCCATCCAACAGAGCTGGCTGAACAGCCCCTTGGGGACCCAGGGCTGTAACCATCAGAGCTGAAGGCACGCTGGACGCGTGCGTAGACGCTTTTCAGTCTCACGTCCCGGAAGGAGCCTCGCTCAGCGGCGAGCGCTTGCACTCGAGGGCCACGCACTCTGCAATCCTGGACTTCATCTGCCTCACAACATCCCTGTCTACAGAAGAACAGAGCCAGAGAGCCAAAGAACTTGGGAAAGGAAAAAATTAACGTTTAAAAATCACTGGCCGCCCCACATCTAGCAACGACCAATCAGGAAACGCTCAGGAAGAGGCCCCGCCCCAGAAGCCGTAGGACCGCCTCCACGCCCCCAGCAGAGGACACAGGAAGTGACGTCGCGCTCGCGATTTCCCATACCCACCGCCCCCGAGATACGTTGGCCGTAGCCGAGCTTGGGGCTGGCGGACGTGACCTCATCGACGTGCGCGCCGTTCGGTGGGATCTGGCGGGGTCGCCGTGGCGGGCGCCTGGGCCGCCACTGGTCGCCTCTGCAGCCCCTCCAGGTAAGCTCTCACCCACCTGCCCTCCTCTCCTGCCCGCGGGGCGGCGCGGGCGATGTCGGGCCGGGCGCGGACGGCGCAGTCCCGAGTCCCTCCCCGCTCCCGCCGCCCGAGCTGGCGAGGCCGAAGGCGGCTTCCCGCCGTGGGAACCCGGGCGCCGGGGGCAGCGAAGGCTCGCGGACCCGGGCTTCTGTTGGACGGTTGTACCGGCCGTTCCACCGTCGCTCGGAGCCGACGTCCGGGGCGCGGTTGGGCAGCCAGCACTCCCAGTCCGCCGCCCCTCGGCTCTCGTCCCCCAGGCCGTGGCGTTCGGAGCTTTCAGTGCCCTCAGCGCAGCAGTTTGTCCGCGCGGCGTTTCGGGGTGCGGCCCTCTGGTTGCTTCTTGAGACTTAAGTCTGGGGGTCTCGGTCGCGAATGCCCTGTTCATGAGCTGTTTTCATCCGAGGAGCCCTGGCGACACATCGGGTTGAGTTCTGGGTGCTGACCCCGAAATCGGCCGTTGGAACTCACCCGAGGCGCCCTGGGGGAAAGAGACTGTCTGCGCCCATAGAGACGTACAGGCTCGGAAAGCCCGGGCGGCAATACCGCCCAGCCGTTAGGGTGGCTCGGAGTTGGGAGTCCCCTCTGCCCCTCTGGGTGGGGGCTTGGTCAAACCCTGCCTCAGCCACAGTTGTGACCCCTTAAACGGAAACGCCCGCTTCTCCCTTCTGAGCAGATGTTGTGGCTCAGAGCCCGGTAACGGCTTTGTGGAAATGTGTTTGATGTGTCAGAGCTAGATGGTTGGTGAGGAGTGGCTGTGTTGTCATAGGGTACCTGTTAAGGCTCTACGTTTATGGAGTCTCTGACGTACTTAGTTTCTTTAGCAGTTTTAAAGTTTGCTTGTTTTCTTCCGTGAGAGAGTGCAGGCTATAGGGTCTTATCCTCTCAAAGGGATTGCGGGGGTCTTTCACTCAGTGATGCCCACTCTCGGAGTGCAGGTGGTTCTGGGTGACGTTGCTGTGAGCCTACATGGTGTGTGTTCACATGTTTACATGTTGGGCTGCTAGTCGCAAGATCTGCAGTCAAACCCACAGGCCACTTTGTGGGGAAAGAAAAGGCTTTCTGCTCCTGTAACAATGGATAGCCATGAAACCCAAAGGACAGTTGTACTGTGCCCGTCGGCTGTTATGTGTCAGGATCAACTCCAGGGCCTTGGGCTTTGGGATGTTTCGCATGAAGGGGCTTCAGAAAGTGAGAGGAAATGGAATTGAAACATCATGTTCTTTCACCCCCCACAACCTTCCTGCAGTCCTAGCCTATCTTTTTATCCATACAGTGCATCACAGCCTTTTATTGGCCCAAGAGCTCAATCACGATTATACAAAAATGTGTGTTATGCAGTTCAGTGTTTATTGAACTTTACCCCCAAGACATTGTGGAAGACAGAAAATCTTCCTGAGGGGTTCGCTTAACAGCTTTGTGTGTACGTGTCATGCTTCTGGACCAATAGTAGACCTTGCGTAGAAATTCGCCCCCACCATTTTTAATGGTCATTATGACATCTTCATTTTGGACATATTAATAAACATACAATAAGTTCAGAAAGATTGATGTTGAAGCCCGTGTCTTGTGGTGTAGTTTTGTATTCAGTTGGAACGTTCAGCCTCCGGGGTTGTAAGGCCAAGAGAAATGCATTCGCGAATGTCCTTTTTTATTGGTTTTTCTGTCCCTGCTGTTTGCAAGCCTAGCTTATAAGACTGAGCCTGCCCATGTTCTTCCTCTTAGCATTGCCCCTTTCTCTGAGCAGTGTCACCGTCTTGCTGTGCAAGAAGTTAACCCAGAGGGTGGAGGCCATTTCTCCGCAGTCTGCTGTGATGCTCCGGGCTGCAGACTGAGTGCCAACACTCTTCTGTCGCGGAGAGAGCAAGCACCATGGATCAGAACAGCAGCCTCCCACCCTACGCCCAGGGGCTGGCCTCCCCACAGGTACCACAGCAGAGACGGGCAGGGAGAGGGCAGATGTGGGGTAGGCACCTCTTCATCCTCCCTCAGCTAACAGCCTACTCACTCTCACCTGAGGATTTCATTGGGCAAACCTCACCTCTCTTCTCCACCCTGTGTAGAGCGCCATGACCCCCGGGCTCCCAGTCTTCAGCCCCATGATGCCATACGGCACTGGCCTGACGCCACAGCCCATCCAGAGCACCAACAGCCTGTCCATCTTGGAAGAGCAGCGGCAGCAGCAGCAGCAACAGGCAGCAGCAGCGGCGGCGGCAGCGGCAGCCCAGCAGTCCACATCCCAGCAGGTGCCCCCAGGGGCCACAGGCCAGACACCACAGCTCTTCCACTCACAGACTCTCACAACTGCGCCTCTGCCGGGCACCACCCCCGTGTACCCGTCCCCCATGACACCTATGACCCCCATTACTCCTGCCACACCGGCCTCGGAGAGCTCTGGGATTGTGCCCCAACTACAGTGAGTATTGCTGACGACCCATTCTCACAGGCCAGCATGTTTGAGGTGTGGCCCATGTGTGTGACAGGTGGATGAGCTTGAAGGCCATCTTTGGGTGAATCTGAGTCACACCCTCAACATGACTGAGACCTGCAGTTGTGTCCTCAGGGTCCTGGGGCCTGTGCTCCTGCTTGGTAGTGAGGGCCATGGCCAGATGGCAGTTTGGGCTTTCCTTTGACAGCCCCGCTGTTGTGGTTAGTTTTGGCCTGAGAGTGTCGGGTCCTTGTCCTGAGTGCATTTCTCGGCTGGAGTGCAGTGTGTCCCATTTGGAACAGAGGAGGCAGGAAGTGAGCTGTTCTGCATGTGAATGAGGCAGCAGCCCCACTTCTGTGGGAATATCGCCATCCCATGGAAAACTCGGATGGTTAGGGTTGGAAAAGCAGGTGGGATGTCCCTCCCCGGCCCAATGGGACTGGGTCCTGCCGCAGACACACAGATTGTGAAAGCCTCTTTGCTAGGAGGGTTAGAAAACCAAAAGCAGAGCAGGTGGATGAGCAATGGGCATCTGGAGGAGTGAGGCTTCCGTGAGAGAGACCTTCAGGGTGGTCTCAAGCCTGCCTCACAGTAGGACAGAGACATCTGCTGCAAGAACCCAGCAGATGGGTGTATGAGGACTTTGATGCATTAGGAAGGGGCTTCGCAGAGACCGAGCAGCTTCCCTAGGTATATTTGATGCAGTGGACACAGAAGTCCTTGGAAGGAAACAGAGGAATCACAAAAACCAATAGGCTTGACTGAGGTCCTAATGGCCCACAGAGGATGCCAGCTGTTAGCCAGCCCCTGGGAGGCCGGCATGGGGGCAGGGTCTGTGTGTGCATGTGCACGTGAATCCAGTGAAGTGCTTCTCACAGCTGATTCCTTGTCTAGCAGTCATGCAGTGGCTTAGGAACCTAAGAAAAGGTGTGATGGTCCAGATGACCAGTGGTGACAGCTGCCTTTGATTGCTGTCAGGGACCATTGAGTCAGCTGTGACTCAGTGGCCCCTGGAGAAGAGTGGAAGGCTGGCGGGGGGTTAATAACGCAGTGATGAAGGGGTTGGTTAGTGGATTGGGTCCTTCCGCGGCCTCTCCATCTGTGGTGGGAGCAGAAATAGTCACCACGTTGCAGTTGATGCAAACAGTGAGTGAGGTGGTCTGAGTGAAATGCCTTGGGAACAGTGACCACACAGGCATGCTGGGAAGCTTAATATATTAGTTCCCTGATCATGCTTAAAAAATTTTTTTTTGCAGAAACATTGTCTCCACAGTGAATCTTGGCTGTAAACTTGACCTAAAGACCATTGCCCTTCGTGCCCGAAATGCTGAGTATAACCCTAAGGTGAGAGCTGAAGTCTGCAGAAGGTGGGCACGGAGGGTCTGAGGTCTGGACCGCAGCAGAGAAGGAGTGGGGGTTAGAGGATGAGGGAGGCCATGTCAAGAGGCTTCCTCTCCTTCGCTGGGGGCAAGGAAGACTCAGTCTCACAGCCAGTAAAGCCAGCAGCTGAGGGAGCTCAGGGAATCCCACTGCTCCATAAACTAGTCTTGTGTTTGTATTTCTCTGCGGCAACAGAGAAAAGCCACACCAAGTCTTAAAGTTGTTAATGTGTCAGATGTTATTCTTGATCATTTGTCAGGGTTTATGTAACTTAGTAACTGAGGCCAGTAATTCTCCTTAAGGTTTAATTTTAGCAAGAAAAAGTTTCTTGGAGTGCCAACAGGTTTAAAACAAAAGGAACTAAACAAAACCCATGCCGAGTGCCTTGTGCTTTGCTGCAGGCTGAGTGCTTGCCTGGCATCCTCAGAACAAGCAGCAGCGCGCTCTGCTGATGCCCCCCAGAGGCAGGAAAGGGTTACAGCACAGAAGTTCACACAGAAAATAAGCTGTTTTTTAAACCACTTAGCTCAGGAAGCAGCAGGTTGCATGGCCGCTCTGAGTGCCTGCTTGCCTATGTGAGGCATGCAGGCCTTGGGGAACCCGGCCACCAGCCACTGCCACTTCTCAGCCCCCTCGCCCTGTCTCCTCTTGCCAATTCTTACCACTCACTAACCCTGTCCTTTGGTGGTTGTAGCGATTTGCTGCTGTGATCATGAGGATAAGAGAGCCCCGGACCACAGCACTCATCTTCAGCTCTGGGAAGATGGTGTGTACTGGCGCCAAGAGGTGGGTGCCGGGGCCCCAACAGACAGGCTGCTGCCCCCTAAGACAACAGCTGACCTGCCCTCAGAGTTGGGCCAGGTGCACTGCTTGCCTGTCTACCTCTCTGGGCCCTACTTTGCATGAGATGGAGTTAACCATCAAAATTAGGAAGCTAGATTCCTTGATGGGATACTACAGGCTCACCCCTGCTTGAAAAGAAATGGACCAGGAGCCAAAGTACATTAGAGCCCCTGGGGGTCTTCAGGATACCACCAGAACTGACTGGTGGTCATGGGTATTGAGGTCATCATGTAGGCTTGACCCACACTATCCCCAGAAGGGCCATCGTGTTTGATAGACATTGGACTAAGTCACACTGGTGTTCTAAGGCCTACATGGCCAAACAAGCTATGTGGAGTGTCCTGACCACTAGTGGGGTGTGGAGACTATCACGGGGCCTCACCAGATGGCTTTGATCATGCCTATCCACCTTCTAGCCTGTTGGAGTGGGAGTGGCTAGCTTGCAGTTTATCTTATTTTTCTTCATTTGAACTTTTAATGAGTTATTCCAAATTCAAGTTTCTTTCCTCCCAGTGAAGAGCAGTCCAGGCTAGCAGCAAGAAAGTACGCCCGGGTGGTGCAGAAACTGGGCTTCCCGGCCAAGTTCTTGGACTTCAAGATCCAGAATATGGTGGGCAGCTGTGATGTGAAGTTCCCCATCCGCCTGGAGGGACTCGTACTCACCCACCAGCAGTTCAGCAGGTGAGGACACATGCCAGGTGGGCAGCAGCAGCCATAGCTGGTTCCTCCAGTCCCTCGCCATCCCCCTCCCCCAACACACACACACTCTCTCTCTCACTGGGAGGAATCTGATGCTGCTGCCTCACTGGTTTCGTGCTTAGTGAGTGACAGAGTGGAAGCTCTCACCTCTGCACTTCCCCTATCTGACTTCCTCCCAGCACAGGGAACACACTCAATGAGTGTTTTGTTTCTACTTATCTTTCCTGCTGTTACTGGTGGCCCCTGGCCCCTGTGGCCACCACCAGACATCAGGTGGTCTGAGATGTCCTGAACTGCCCTTGGCAGATAGACACAGCCACACCGACTGATCGCCAAGAGAGCACTTGGGTCAGATTTGGTGGGGCTTCATGTGCAAGCCAATGTCTGCATTTCCCTGTGGCTAGTTCCCTCCATTGCTGGCTGGGGACATCTTGTTGGAAGGGTGTGGGAGCAAAAGCAGGCAGGCTGCCCGTCTCGGATCTCAGGAACCTTGATGTGGATTCTGCAGAAATGGAGAAGGGGGTGCTCCAGCAAGGGCCGCCTTTAACCCAAAACTGCTCTTATGTTTCTTTGCAGCTATGAGCCAGAGTTGTTCCCAGGTTTAATCTATCGGATGATCAAGCCCAGGATTGTCCTTCTCATTTTCGTTTCTGGAAAAGTCGTGTTAACAGGCAAGTTGTGACATGGCAGTGTCTGAAACGCTTCAGGGCCAGGACCTCCTCGGTGCTCCCCACGTGGAGCTCCCACCCTCACTCTGCGGAGAGAGAAACGACCCCACGGAGTGGGGGTGGGAGTAGGGTGCCCTTGCACCCAGAAGGGAGACAGCTGCTACCCTGGTGGTCCTCAAACTGGGTGGTGGGCACCCCAGTACTACTGTCCAGTTGAGAGCTGGATGGAGGCTGAGCAGTGCAGTGGGAAGGCAGGTGCCAAACACCTGAAGTTAGAACAGACCTGTTTGAGGGTTTCCAGGGTCACCTTCGATGCCTGGGCTGCTCACCTAACAGCAGATGGACGCCTGCTCTGTATTGCGTTTCACCGTGCTAGGAAATGCACGTTCACATTGTCTCCTCTCCCCTTGTCTCCAGGTGCTAAGGTGAGAGCAGAGATCTACGAGGCATTTGAGAACATCTACCCCATTCTGAAAGGCTTCCGGAAGACCACGTAATGGCCCCTACTTACCCCAGCAAGGTGCCCGGCCCCTGTGCATTTCTGGCTCAGGTTCCTTCATGCCAGTGGACCTCATGGACCCTGGTGCCACTGAGTCCTCAGTGGCATCTCTCAAGGTGGCCAAGGGCTAAGGTTCAGCCTAACCCCTCACTGCTGCCCACAAGCTGCTTCAAGGGACATGTGTCCAGTGTTAGCCACCTCAGCCACAGACTGGACTTGTATTTTGTTCAGTTTTTGCTACAGTTTTTGTATTTGTATTAGAAAAATAAAAGATTTTTTTTTTTAAGTGTTGTATCGAGTTTGTAATGCCAGCCACGTTCTGACTCCTACAGCAGGGCAGGACGCTACAAGGGGGTACACCCAAAATTGGAATTGTGCTGGGCAGAGAGGAGCTTTCATAGTAGTTATATGCATTTTTCTTGCTAGGCAAGCATCAAGCAACTTGCTCTGAGTTAGTGCACCCAGTGGAGTCACCTGGGAAGGTTCTGTCTGGTCACAGTGAATTTTTTTTCATGAAAGCAGTTTTGCTCACCTTAATTTTTGTTATGGCCGATTGAAGAATATCGTGCAGCTATGAAATTTTGTTTCCTGCTCGGGATAAATGCTGCAGAAACTGTTGTGATGTTAAACACAGCTTATGGGACAAACTCAAAAGTGTGCAAGCGGTTTTGTCGTTTCAAAAATGGTGAAATGTCAACTGATGACAAACCTCGTTCCAGACAATCGTCAGCTTCCCAAACGGATGAAAATGTTGACTCGTCGTGCATTTGGAGTTCATTCCACCAGGTCAGACTGCTAATCAAGCTTTCTATTTAGAGGTTTTCAAAAGATTGTGTAACGGTGTGCAAAAAAGGCCTGACTTGTGGCAGACGGGGGACTGAATTTGCCACCATGACAGTACACCTGCTCCCACAGCCATCTCAGGACGTCAGTTTTTAGCAAAACACAGCATGCCTTTCTTGCCCCACACACCTTACTCACCTGACCTCGCTCCAGGGTACTTTTTGTTTCTGCGAATGAAGAGGGACATGAAAGGACAGCGAAGAGGTGACAAAAAATGAGGTGCTGTCACCCATCCAAACAGATGAGTTTGGAAAATGTTTCCAAGAATCGAATCAGATTTGACAAATGTAAGTGTAATGGAGACTACTTCTGAAGGTGATAAGGGTTTTTTGTTTAAAAAAAAACAGCTTTGGAGAAAAATTCCAAGTTTTTTGGGGGGGTACCCCTTTGTATGCTCAGAGCTGGGCCGCCAGGGGCCACTCTACCTGCTTAGCTGGTCCACATCAGTCCACACTGCTTGCCACAAACTACCCAGAAACTTGGTGTGCTGTGTTCTCTTGCCACCCTGGCACAGTCCCCAATCAGATGACTCTGCTGACCACCCGATCCTTAGTGTAAGTTGGCTTAGAAACCACCCTGTAACCTCTCCACATGGGAATTTGATGCATGTCATAGCTCATGCACACATCAGCAATCAGGCCAGCCCAAGCGAGCGTGGCACTTTGCGGTCCCTTTGCTGGGCTTAGCCGCACACAGTGAGAATCTGGCTTGGGGTTGGGAGCATGTGCACTCTTAGAACCATGAGTTTGCAGAGGGCATGCCTCCCCCTGCAGACAACTGCCTGCCAGCGTACCTGGACGCTGGGACGGTGCTGACCTGGTCAGTTGAGGTGGCACCCTTGCAAATCCAGGTTTTCAAACAACTGGTGCTTTCCCAGTCTTGCTGTTTCAGAATTGAAGCTCCCTGTGCTTGGGCCCCGAGTCCTCTCACCCCAGTCCCCACCTGTTCCCTGGCCTAGTGGGTCAGTGCTGCCTGTGTTGCAGGCTGGGAGGTAAGCCAGCACCAGGAATAAGACTGGGTGTGTTCATCTAAAACAGTTTATCTTTGAAAATTTCAGAGGGGAAATGATCTCAGAATGCTTTGAGCAAATTATACATACGCGTATAAACACACACAGCTGAATTGCTGGACACGCACATGGGGGTCGGCAGCACAGGTCTGCATCCTCCCCGACCCTGGGCGTTTCTGCTTCTCGTTGCTGCAAACAGCCCAGAGGTGGGCCTCGAGCGGCTCTTGCCACGCTCGGAAGAGACCGTGCCTCAGGCTGTGTCCGTCACGTCCTGCTTCCACACAAACTCCTCCACGTAGCCAGCACCCAGCGCACAGCTGTCCACGCAGGTGAAGATGCCCAGGACTCCCCAGTCCACACTCCTGCCCAGGCTGTCAGCCTTGAGGAGGTTAAGCAGCTGCGGCATGACCTGCAGAGGGTGATGAAGATCAGCCTGGACAACACCCCAGGGCCCAAGCACCTCAGACCGGCACGTCGCTCTCCACGGGGCACAGCCCCTCCTGATGCCTCACAGGTCAGCCGGCTGGCCAAGAAAATGTTCCCCAGGTCAAGCTCAGGCAAACGTGCTTCAGCTGCTCCCCGGGCAGGCACTGTCATTCTGCCTGGAGAAGTGCTGAGCTAGACAGGGGCACTGTTTGAAGGCTGCACAGGTGACAGCAGAGTCACAATGAGGAAATGACTTTGAAAATGCTCCGCCCTCCACTTTGACATTGGTGACATCTGAGTTCTTTCTAATTCTTCCACCCGGAGAAACAGCACACTGAGGAAGCTGGAGTCAATCCCAGAATCCACCACTGTCCAGGGTCTCTCCGCACAATCAGCTGTACTCCAGATAAAACACCTCTCTCAATGCTTACTACCCACCTCCATGACCCACGAGACGTATAGCACCCACCGGCAGCTTCCCCCTTTGGGGTTGACTTGCCTTGTGCCCAGTCACCAGGAGGAGCCTGTGTGTTTGAAATGAAAGAAATGGGTGTGTGCCCATTTTGTTTGTACAGAGGACTGCATGAAGTGAAGGCGCCCTGGTGGTATAGTGGTTTTGCATTGGGCTGTGATCCGCTTGGTTGGCAGTTCGAAACCTCGAACAACTCTGAGGGAGAAGGACGGAGCTTTCTACTCCTATAAACAGTTACAGTCTTGAAAACCCACAGGGGGTTGCCATGAGCCAGCACTGACGACTTGATGGCAGTGAAGGGTGTTGTGCTACTAATTCAAAGACCAGCAATTCAAACCCCCCAGTCTCTTAGAAACATGAGGCTGTCTGCTCCCCTAGACATTTACAGCTTTGGAAACCCTACAGGGTAGCTCAACTCTGTCCTCTAGGGTCCCCTAAAGTTGGGATCCCCTGAAAGGCAGCGCATCCTGGGAGTGCAATTCTGCAAAACTTGGTCTCTTCAGTGTTTCACTTGGAAATTAGGCTTCTACTTCCAGGTTCCAGTTCCAAGCTCCCTAAAGCGTATACACCTATTAGACGATCTAGAAGGCAGTGCAGAGCCCAGGGGAACATATGTGTATCACCTCATCCCCAAGTTCAGAGTAACAAGTGTGTCCACCACAGCTCTACCCTAGAGCCCAGGACACAGGTGTCTGATTATCCATCCCTGCCAGTGAGGCAGGAAAAGTGTTCCACACAATATGTATAAAAAACCCTCAGAACAAAATTTCAGAACTGTCCCTTGATTCAGCATTCCTTCTGCTAATGAAAGCACATGGTGTTAAAAAAACTTCAAAAAAACCCAAAAAACTTCAGGAGGAAAATAATCGGATCATCAAGGAGTTAATCAGGGCGGCTTCTATGACTTGCATCCCGTAAAGCACATGCTAGGGACAGAAGAGCGCCCCCCGCCCCAATATACATTGGATCCCAGTCCCCTATGTGTGGGTAGGAGCCTTGGTGGTGTGGTGGGTTACACACTGAGCTGCTAACCACAGAGTGAGCAGTGTGAAACGACTGCCCACTCCAGAGAGGTCTTCCACTTCTGTGGAGATGTTCAGTCTAGGGAACCCCCAGGGCTGGCTCCACTGAGGGAGCCTTTTGAGTGAGAATGAACCCCGTGGCGGTGAGTTTTTGAGGTCCATCTGTGGGTGTGACCCCATCTGGGAAGGCTGCCCTCAACAAGATGGAGAGGCTGCAACAATGGGCTCAGGAACAGCAGTGGCCGTGGGGTGGTGCGGGGCCGGCAGTGGCTCACCCAGCTGTGCTGGGGGAATGGACTCATGGCACCTCACACAACCACATGAGCGAGGGCAAGTCTTGAGCCAATCGCCATGAAGGACGAAGAGCAGATCAGACATGAAGCACGGGCCAATCTGCTCAAGTTCAAATGTCTGGAGAGGCAGCCAGCCTGGCAACGCACCTCTCAGGGCAGTACGTACCTGAAACTCGAATATTCTCTTGGCACCACAAGGACAGTTCGGAACGTCCTCCTCCCGAGGGACATTTTCACCAGAGATCCAGAGGGGAGCAGCCCCACGGCCATACCTGAGAATCTGAAGCAGCCAGGATCCCTGTCAGCCCTTGGTGCCTTCACCCTGGAAGCAGTCTGCCCGCAGTCTGCTTGTGAACCCATCCCCGCCACCCTTGTTGGACGAGAGGCCATGACACAGTTTGCTGGGTGCTCACCACGCACCTGCCTTTGTCCCCGACACTTGCGAGGGCAGTGGAGGCCAGCTGGTCCTCCCACCCCAAAGCCTGTGCTGCATTCACAACATGCATCTAAGGGCCAAGTTCAAGATGAAGGGCAGCGGGCCTTTAGTCTTCCAGCAGCTGTACAGTGGCTCCGTACAGCAACTCTGATCTGCACCGGCGCCCAGGACAGCCCCTAGCACCTCTAGTACTTCTCAAAGCCAGGCCACAACGAGCACCAGAGCCCGAGGGGCGAGGTCCACAGGAGGGCAAGTGCCAGCTTACCTGCTCAGGCTCAAGGGCTATTTTCGCCTTAAACCTCTGGAAGATCTCATCTTCCCTGGTTTCGTGCTTTGCCATGGACTCCAAATCTTCCTCAGACGCGTCACCTGAGAAGTCACAGCACAGTTACTGGCCACATGCACGTACACACACAGGGCTGGTGTCAGCAGCTCAACCTTACAGGGGAAGGGCAGACACGCATGCATGCGTGCATGTGAGGGACCAGTTCTACACGGCAGCACAGCAGGGGGATGACCCAGGACACCTCTGCCCTTCCTGCTACCAGATCCACCTCAATCCCAGGGGTCCCAGGCCCAGCTAACTGCTTGCTTCCTGGGAGTTTCAAACAGGAAGTGCCAGTCGACCTCACGGCGCCACCACCAGATGGCAGCACTTCCGCCAGAAAGACCCTTGGACCACGTGTCCTCTGGCCACAGAAACCCCAACCTGACATCATTCTCTAGTCAAGAGAGATCTCTCCCCCCACCCCCCACCCCCCGATCCCCACCCCGCCCTCCATCCTCTCTTTGGGGCCCAGGCCTGGGGCTGACGCTCCTGCCCACCACCTTGGAGACTTCTGTGTGGGAAGGGCACTGGGGTGGCAGCCATGTGCTCAGGAGCTGCCTCCTCCCAATGCAGACACGCGCCCTTCAGCCTCAGTTAGAACCCATTAACCCACACAGTTCTTATCCTGACCAATGCCTGCTTTTTGCCAATGGCAACCTGAGGAGCGAGCTCCTGGACCCTTCAACATGACCCTCTTTTACATGAGTTGCTGCGTCCCATGAGACTCGGGTTGGAGGCTACCGCCTGATCCAGGAGGCACAAGAGCCACTGTTCGTGGCCTGTTTGTTTGGTTTTAGCTAAAAGACACCCACAGATACTTCCGATATCAATACTTACTCTAATCAGTCTTACAGTTTCTAAGTGCTGCTGTGACAGGGCCTCCACTCATGGTGGCGCTAACACTACACTTAGCTTTGGTGACTGGCAGTAGGAGTTCTGGGTGCAAACCTCAGAGGTGGCTTTATCCTGTCTGCTCTGGGGTAGTCCTTTGTCCTTGGCCTCCACTCCTGGGTTCCAGGGCCACACCCCACCTGCCTCCGGGGCTCTGAAGCCCGAGAGCAGTTCTTTGTACTCAAATCGAATTGTACTGCACACTCCACAGGTTTCATGTTTTGTGACCGCGAGCACTGACTGCTTGCACATGCAGCTTTAGCTTTCGATGGTGGGACTGACACAGTCCTACCCACAGCACGTACAGGGAGAGGCATGTTCTGTGTCTCGCTTCTATCCTTGACGCACGCCCTCGTCATCTCTGAGGCTTGGGTATTAACATGCACGTGTAAACAGACATGCCTGTCCATGCAGTGCTGCATAGGGGATTTCACACTAAAGAAACCTCCTTTGATGGTTACTGGCGGTGGGGAGGGGGAGTTGTTCAGAGGGTGGGCATGTATTAACGTGGGTGAAGAGGAAGAGACGGAAACATACATGAGAAGGTGGTCACCCCAAAAACAATGGAATCAGAAGAAGACACAGGGAGGGGCAATAGTTAAATGCCGCAGAGAGCCAGGCTGTTACATAAACAGGCCCGAGACAACAGCGCTCTATAAACAGATGCAGAGAGGGGCACACGCTGAATGCATGTGGGAGGGAGAGTAGTACACTCATGAATACACACTGAGTGGGTAGAGGATATATGTATGTGTTGTATTTACCTGCCCTGCAAACATATCCATGAACGTGGGGCAAAGTTATAAAAACATCTTAGACATAACTAAACACCTTGAGGGAATGAGTCGCTGGGCCTGGAGGCCACCAAGATTAATCGGCACAAACAGTCCACAAGGACTTACTCTGGTGAGCAGCGCCTAGAGTCAGAAGAGCTTGTGAGTGGCCGCCCAAGGTGCAACTATTGGTCCCTCCGCGTCCCCAACAAATAAGCATGAACAAAACCACCCAAAGCACGGACACCAGCCTCCACGTGCCCAAGACCAGAACTGGACTGTGCCCGATGACCACTGTCCATTGCTCTGAAAGGGACCTCACCAGGAAGCACTGAATAGATCTGGAGGAAAATGTGGAACAAAACTCAAAATCCTACGGAAGACGAAGCTCACTGGCTAGATGAAAATGTGTGAGACCTTCAGGTCTGGAAATGAACTCACCCCACGTCTCAATTCTCAGCCAAACGACAGGTCTGTAAGGTGAGTAACACACATCTAAGGAGTCAACTGTTTGAGGTCAAAGGGCAGCATTTTTTGAAGGACAAAGTTTGGGAGGAGGGAGTGGCACCAACCGGAAGCAGGAGGAAGTGGGATTAATGTGTGGATTAACCTGGGATGGACGGCAGTGACGAGAGTGAAGCCTCACCCACGCTGTCCACGTGCTCGCCCTCCTCCTCCTCCTCCTCCTCCTGCTCTGCTGGGACTTCGTCTTCCGTTTCTATCACAATCTCATATTCGGGAAAAAGGAAGCTGTGGTCTGGAATCACATCACTTACATCACCTACAAGGAAAGTTGTTGGCATCATTAGTCGCCATCCGATTTTGAAGGTGACAGTACTTTTCTGTCCCTAAGCGATCACACAGACTCCGTACCCTAACATTTCTCCTTAATAAACCAAAGAGCCCTGGGGCACAGGGGGCTATGTGGGGGCCGTGAATCAGAGGGTTGGGAGTTCACTCCTGCACGGAATTACGATCTAGAAAGCTCAGGAGGTGCTGTTCCCGAGAATCGTGAATGGAGGAGGCTGGTCTCCCAACTCCAGCCCGTGTGCTCAGAATCACCATGTTCACAGGGCACCTGTGGGCCGTTCAGGAACCAGTGGCCACCAAGTCCATTTCAAAACAACCTGACAACCACTCACCTGGTATCCAGTGTTTGTGGTCTTACATCAGGCGACTGTGAGGCTTTTCTCCTCACAGGCCTCTGGATGGACTGGAACTTCCAACCTACCAAGCACCAGCTGAGCACATCCATCACATGCAGTAGCCAGTGTCTCGGAACTGACCAGCGTACCATCCACCAAGGTCTCAGAGCGTTCACCAGCCTGCTGTCCACCAGGGTCTCAGAGTGCTTATCAGCCTACTGTCCACCAGGGTCTCTGAGATCACCAGCCTACTACCCACCAGGGTCTCAGCACATACCAGCCTACTGTCCACCAGGGTCTCAGAGTGCTCACCAGCCTATTGTCCACCAGGGTCTCTGAGCTCACCAGCCTACTTACTGTCCACCAGGGTCTCAGAGTGCTCATCAGCCTACTGCCCACCAGGGTCTCAGAGTACTCACCAGCCTACTGTCCACCAGGGTCTCAGTGCTCACCAGCCTACCATCCACCAGGGTCTCATACTGCCCACCAGGGTCTCTGAGCTCACCAGTCTACTTACTGTCCACCAAGCTCTCAGAGTGCTCACCAGCCTACTGTCCACCATGGTCTGAGCCCTCACCAATCTACTGTCCACCAGGGTCTCAGAACGTTCACCAGCCTACTTACTGTCCACCCAGGGTCTCAGTGCTCACCAGCCTACTATCCACCAGGGTCTCAGAGCACACACCAGCCTACTGTCCACCAGCGTCTCAGAGCGCTCACCAGCCTACTGTCCACCAGGGTGTCAGAGCACTCATCAGCCTACTGTCCACCCACAGTCTCTGCATCATGTCCCTCCCTGGCTGATCTCTGACCTGTGTGACAACTCCCTGATGTCTGAGTGATTCTCCAACAGGAAGGGTAACTACAGCAAACTCTTACGTGAAATGGGGAATCTACAGTGTGTAAAGTACAACCCAATTCTTAACAACACATATTTTGGGGCACCCCCAGAAACATATCCAGCGTTGGCCATAAAGGGAACTGAGGAAGGGCTGCATGTCTCCCTTTAACACATTTGCACTTTCTAAGTTCCTTTACAGCAGCGGTTCTTAACCTGTGGGTTGCGACCCCTTTGGGGGGTTGAACGACCCTGTCACAGGGATCACCTGCTTCCTAACAGTAGCAAAATTCGTTATGAAGTAGCAACGAAAATAATCTTATGGTTGGGGGTCACCACAACACAAGGAACTGTATTAAAGGGTCACAGCATTAGGAAGGTTAAGACCCACTGCTTTATAGTCAGCTGTCTTTGCTGCATAAAAATACAAGCAGTAAAAGCCCCTGGCCTTCCCCATTCAGTTACAATGAGCCAACACAATAGCAGTTTCTGCCTCCTGCCCTCTACATCAGCCCCTCCTGGGGGCGGGCGAGTGGGGGCTGAAGTCAGAAATGAGTGCAGAGAAAACATCAATGACCACCTTGTTTGTTTTACACAACATTCTCTCTCACAGTGCGTGTGAGCTGCCACAGGACGCTGGAGCTACCAGTCCCCAGGGTTCACTGGCTGAGGCAGAGTCGAGAGGATGCGACAGGCTCCGCGACAGTGCTGTGGTCTCACCTGCTGGCGAACAGGTCTGCCGGTGCCACTTCCAATCCAGAGTCTGGTGTTCCTTACTGCAGTAATGTGCCTGGTGGCACCTGGAACATATCTTGGGGGCTGAGCAGCCGCAGACCCGGCAGAGGTGAGTGCCAGACTTGAGCTGGAGACACACAGATGCTCCTGCCGCGGGGGGAGGCTGCTCGGGAGGGGGCTTGTAGGAGTAAAAATCATTCTTCCTGGGTAGCTGATTTCTAAACACTAAGGAAGAAGGAGAAAATTTAATTTTCAATAAAACATAGAGCAGATTAATTCAATAAAGAATTGTGCCTCCACTCAGGACTGAAATTTTGGAAACTTAAAAAATAAAAAATCAGAAGGAAGATTTCCTTCTTGCCCACTAAAGCAGCAGGCAAGATTCGAACTCACAGCCACAGAGCAGAGCACTGGACAAAGCAAATGCCTCATAGGGTCTCCATTTTTCTCCCTCAGAGAGGACAGAGTGGCTGGGGCTTTGACCATTCTATCTTCTGCTTAACAGTCCACTAAGGAACTTCTAATTTTCTGGAAGATAACTGGAGATTGGGGATCGGAACATAAGTTAAAAGGCCATAAGTCTAGAAACTCAATGTGTGTGGATAGGGGCTGGCTCCTGGGGTTGCCAAATTTATCAAATTAATCATGAAGATGAATCACTAATCAGTCTGCTGAGACGAAAAAGATCCATTTTTCTAAAAAATAAAGACAGGTGTCCCATTTGGTCAGTGGCTCAAACTCCTTGGGAGAAGGTCGAGGCTGTCTGGTCCTGTTAGTGTTTTGTTTTGTTTTTCCTGGTTTCTAAGAAAAGGATAAATTTACTATCTGAACAGAATAATTTTTATCCATCTCTAGTCTGATTAAGCCCCTGGCAGATCCCCTCTAGCCACAGGGAAAGAGAGATGATTGTAAACTTGATTACACTTGGTCCGTTGACCTCCCTCTTGACCCAACCCGAATTTGTTTTAGGCCCAAATATTTCTCACTTGCTCCATGATAGAAATTTCTTCTCTGGCTTCCATAATGCTGTTCGTGGTCTTTTCTTTCCTACTCTTTATTGTTATCTTTATATTACTATTATTTTCTCCTTTCTGTTACATTTTGGCTTTGTTTGTTATTGTTTCTGTTGGGTTTCCCAGTTTATGAAGCACAGAAGGGGTGGATGAGAAGACACTAACTGATACAATGGTTTATGGGGGAGGGTGGGAGGAATTTGGGGAGGGAAGAAACACTGGAACTGATTGTGATGATGAATGGACAACTCTTTAAAAGTGATTTAACCATGGAAGTGTGTGATATATGAACATTATATCACGAAAACTACTTTAAAACAAAGAAGAAAGAAACCAAACTTAACCAATGGCTACCATGGGTGAAGGAGGAAGAGTTATTGTTTAGGGAGCACTGAATTTATGTTAATGGTGGTGAAAATGTAGGAAAGGCTATCGATAATGGTTGCACATTGGGAGTATAATCTACAGCAATTAATTCTACATGTATATACTGTCGAACTGGAGAGTATTTTGTTGTGTATATTTTTGCTACAAGTTTAAAAAGTACACTAATGACAATAAGGACAAGGAAGAAGAAAATATTCTAAAGCTGATTTGTACAGCTCTTCTTGAAATGAGTGAACTATTGAATTGTATGATATATGAAGTGCCAATACAACTGTTGATAACAAAAAGAAGTGATTAAGGATTGTTAAACACTTGTCACCCCCCTAGGCTAAGGTGACCAGATTTAAAGCGGGACGCCATTGACCGGGAGGGGGGGTGTTCTTGATTAAAAATCTGGTCTATATGGACTAAACAGACCGTTCCCTAGCTTGTCGTGCATTCTTTCCGAAAATCGGGACTTTTTTAAAACGCCAAAAATCGAGACTGTCCCGCCAAAAGAGGCACACAGTAAGTGACCCAAGCGGCTGCCTCTAACGGAAGATGGGCAGCGACCTGCACTCACCTACCCGGGCGCGAGTCGCGATTTCACAGTACAAATAATAGGGATACAGAAATGTCAACTAGGAGC